AATATAAATTATGAATTATGTTTATTTCAACCAAATGTATAAGAGTCCTTGAAAGCCTGAGTCACTTGGAGATACTGAGAGATTATGCAGTCCTTGCAAATCCATTTTTTAATTAACACACATAATCCATAATGCTTTATTTCTTCAATTGCTTCTTTATCTAGTTTATTATTTGCATGTTAATTAGCTTTAAAAATTAATGGACACTTTTTATGTCAATTTGAATTGAATAAATTGTTGGTATTGACCATGTAGCCTGTTTAAAATCTCTCTGCTCTTTTGTACAGCATAGCATACAAAGTACTGTAACTGTGTATTCTCTTATTAATTGGGTATGGAGTCTTAATCAAACTTGGCACTAGTTCTTGAAGACAGAACTTTCATGCTCCAGTTTGGTGGCACATGTGTCAGTAGGAATGCACCCCACCACACACACACCCCAGAAGACTCTGCTGCCTGCAGCTGCCTGAGTTCCAGCTTTATTATGTGAACTAGATTCCATAGGAGGCAGACTTCCTCTTGACACGGATGTGTTTGTATTCTGCCATGAACAGAAGCCAAGAGAACTCTTTCTGAAATATTAGATTGAGAACCTTTATTTTGAAAATGTAACACTGTAATGTAGCAACAGAAACCCCTCTAATGGTTCTTTAAAATATCTTTGGCAAACCTTCTTGAGCCGGTCAAAATATTTTCAGCTTATAGCATTTCAGCAATTGTTTTGGAAGCATCTTCTAGCTTGAGCACTGGTGTGTTAGAGATTGAAATTCACAGTGCAAGGAGGCTGGGAAAAATTCCTGCTTTCTGGTGCTGCAAGTGCAGAGTACATCTGTTCTACTTGTTGGCACAGAGAAGGTCAAACGGCTGGAGACTCTTGAGAGGCTAAGGGGTCCCATTGGTTCCATGATAGGATTCCTGTTGGTCCTTGAGAGACCTCCTGCCACTAGGATAGTCTTGCTTCCATTCTGAGTTCCTTTGCTGTGGTTCTAGAACTTTATCCAGATGCTTGCTACAGGTGCTGTTTTTACCTGGGTGGTGGTGGTGGTGGGGAGATTGACATCTACATGTGTGAATATTTAAGAAATTTAAGAATTTATAGGATATCTATTCAAATGACATTTTTTAGACAGTAAGGTTTCCAAATGCAAAACAGAAATGATTTCCTCAGTTCAGGAGACTGAGATACATTGGACTCTGAGTGTGCTAAAATAAAAGCAATAGTCAAGCTTGGTTTTCTCAATGATGAGATTCTGAGTTATTGAGGCAATTTTCTTCTCATTATTTTGAAGTAGAGGTAGCATCTTTTTGAGTTGCGTGAATAATGCTAATATTCCCTCAAGATTTTGTAATTGAAAGAGTTTTTATTTGAAACTGAGCACAGTAAAGATACATGTGAATCTGCTATCCCAATCAAATTTTGAATAACATTTTAAAGTTACAACCTTTGTGTCTCTGTCTATGCATATTATGCATATGTTAAGTGAAAACAACAACAACAAAAAAAACCAACCAAAAAAAACCCCCAAAACCAAACAACAACAACAAAAAACCACATTGGTCCCATCTGAAAAAAATGATACAGATTTACCATCCATTAAAAAAAAAAGTAATATGTAGTGAAACTAATTATCTTAGTCACAAATCCAAATGACTTTGTCGATTGAGCAAAGTGTGTTAGCAATTTCTGGCAACTATAATTGTGATAACAGCCCCGCCAAGGATATTACTATTGCTCTTTAATTGCCTCAAGTAACAGTACATACTCCAGTGATGGGTCGTCTCATTTATCATGTTCCTTTGTGGATTACTTGCCTCACACTGTTCAGCCTCCTTGGAACTCTTTCCAGTCAAGCCTCAGCTACTGGCTGATGGTTTTCCCCACACTGTTCTGATTAACACTTTTAAAGTCAGCTCTTCGGATGCTTCTCTTACTTCCTGCTAGAGCCTGAGCTGCCCTGGGGGTACTGCTTTAGCTGTTGGGGGCTGTAAATCAGCCACTTGAGAGGCCCAGAGTTCTCTACTGAATGCCCCCTGACATGTGTGATCCTGAATCTCTGTGACTTAACCCTGGCTTAACATGGCCCTAGATTATACTAGATTTGGATTATTATTTATGTAAAACATTCTAGTGATTTGCTTGGGGTGGAGGAGACCTATTCAGTAAGTTTGCTTTTAAAAAAAAATCTCAAGTTGTGATTTGTGAGGGTTCATCATATTTGTATCTACTCGTTTAGGGTATATTTTAGGAAGAATTTTTAAAAAGTTAACTTTCATGGTTTATTATTAATAATATTCACTACAATAAATGAGAATAACCTAGAAAAGTATCTACTATGAATGAATGAAAATGCTTCCACTCCTCAGTAAATGACTCAGAAGCAGTGTAAGGACATTCTGAAATATCTCTTCTGGCAATTAGTCTGTGGCAAACTCGTTTTCACCTAGGGCCCTTGTTCAGGAGGAGGTTTCTGAGATTCTCTGGTGGGCTCTGCTGTCTTTCTGCCTGCACTCGAAGAAGCGGACCCTGCCACACCCTCAGAATCCTCTTGGATAACATCCCTATTTGGGTCACGTGGCTCTGTTCTGATGATCAGCCTCCAGACTATCTCCTTAGGTGTATTGTAGGTTTGCACTGGTGAATAGACTGTGATGTCGTATGGAGAGGACATATTGCAGGCATGATTTGTAAGGCTTGTATTGTGTGATCTGTGACTTTGGGCATTTACCAAATTTGTACTATTTTATGCTTGTTTCTCTGGGAAACCTCTCTACCAACCACATCTATTCTTTTTCATGTTCCCCATCCTCTGCACACACACATACCCATACATACCTGCTACATAGACCTGAAATATATACCATCCTTTAAAATGATGGTAGTTCTCTGGTGCTACTTTTCAATGCCTAGATAGAAGTCAGCTTCTTAAAATTTCACTGTCATTTACTCCTAGTTGTTCTCTCTAACATGAAGTCCATAAAACAATTTATATTTGTATATGATGATATAAATGTGCATGCTATGCTAAATAATTTGTTTGGCATAATACAGAAGTGCCACATTTTAAAGATGAACAGGAAAAGTTTGTAGAACAACCATAAGAATCAGAAAATCTCAGCAACTGTGCTAAATTGGTTCTTTTTGAAGACTAATTTTCTGATTTTAAAGAATCTTACATTTTAACTTTTCATATAATACATGTAAGAGATGTAATATATTCTTGGGTTCTAGAGATGCACATTCATATTTCTGAGTTTGTATGAGTTCTAAACCTTAGAAAGGCCAAAAACTTAATGTGGAGAGAGATGAGTAGGGAGAAGGAGAGCGGAAGGAAGAAGAGAGAAAAAGAGGGACCGAGAAGAATTGCACAAATCAAAATTTTATTTAGTTCATGGATCTTCTAGACCTATATTTACATGTCACTGGAGAACCTGGTTTTGGAGGTTCTTGACTAAAATCTTTGTTTAGTGCTGATTTCAGAAGAAGCTCTTCCAAACTGGTATCTGTACAGGTATCAGTTACCAGGTGCCTATTGGTCCTGATTGTGCCTTGGAAGCAGAGGTGCATACTGTAGAGTGCCATGGTACCCAAGTTATCCCAGCAAATCTAGATGTATATGTGAGGTTAAATTTCCAGAGGGAAAAGCCGAATGGCTTTGTAGGAAGTGCATGAACTTTGCTATCAGATTTGGTGTTAAGTTCTGGCTTTTCCATCTATAGACTGTGTGAACCTTTAGCTTAACTCTCTGAGCCTCAGTTTCTCTGTTTGCCAAATGTAGAGCAGTTATAAGGAATAAATGAAACAACATATATCCCAAAGTGCCTCATACTTAGTAAGAATTAATAAAAGTTATTGTTTTTCTCTTTCTCCACCACTGAAGAGTATAGCAGTGAAGTGGATAACATCCTCAGCAACTTAGTTTTGCTCTTCTTCCTGGTTTGACTAGATAAAATCTGTTCCATCACATTTTTAATCAAAACTCTTGTATTTTATCTGGTCTATCCCCAGTGAGTTAGTTAGAGAAGAAATTCCTAGAGAAATTCTAATCCTAGAGAGAGGCTGAGAGAGAGAGAGAGAGAGAGAGAGAGAGTACCCAGGCATATTACTCAATGATATACAGCTAATACAATGAAACTGCACATCATTTATTTTTTTTTATAGATTCCCCAACTTAGAGTGAACTTATTCTTTAATCTCCTCTGACATAAAACTCAATTAGGGATTAAGAAGGTGATGGGTAATCAATATTTTTATTCAAAAGTGATTTTTCTTTAGCTAGAAGCTATACAGCTACACTGCTCTGAAATCTTTATCAGCTTAGACAACAAGAGAGTGACATTCAACACGTATTAAATCGCCTAGAGGTCACATAATCTACTGTGGGTGGTGTTCTGTTGTACTGTAATGATCCAGAGACCTTGCAGACTCCTAAAATGCCCTAACGTTTGATTGTGTAAAGTAAAAGAGAGCTGTTCATCAAAAAAATCACTCAAGATATTATTGAAGAGAAATTCAAAGATACAGGGAGTTCTAAAACTAAACTTTCTACCTTGTATTCTCTCTCTCTCTCTCTCTCTCTCTCTCTCTCTCTCTCTCTCTCTCTCTCGTCATGTTTGAATCAGTATCTTAGTAACACCTGTGCTGAAAGACCTCCCTCTAGTAGCCTGTTGATTGGGACGCTGTGAGATGTGATACTCCTGTGACTTCTTTTTCCTCAGTTAAATTCTAGAACATGCTACAACCTTGGCATCATTGTGGAATTATACATAACAGATTGTAATACCAAAATTTTAGAACAATAGTGTAGAGTAAAAATATTAATTGGGGAAGCCACAAAGCAAAGTTTGTTAGTAGTTAGTTATTATTATCTTTGATAGATTACATATTATAATAAACATATTCGAAGCTTCTATATTTAGGTTTTCAGGGCTAATTTAAGTTTTAGTAGTGAAAAATATTTATATAACAATCTTATAATTGTTTCTCTTCTTATCAATTTCAGGGTCAGCCTGGTCCTCAGGTAAGTGATCTCTTTTCTAATAAATTGGCACCCAACTTAGGATTTTCCTCAAGTTTTTCTTCAATTCTTTTTCAAAGAATATAAGAAAGCTATGAGATGGTAATCATGACACCACATTGTTGACCAAATATTTCCCAGGAGTAAATCCCTGGGGCCTCTGTAGGGTTGTGTGAGCCACATCAGCTGTTAGGCCAGATGGCAAATTGAGCTGAGTGTCATCATATAAAGCAAAACTCCTCACTGACCTCGACCAGGCCCACACGACTGTCATGGAAGGCAGAATGACTTAGTTAAGGTTGGGTGTGAACTGATTTGAATTAGGTACTGGTTAATTATGTACTAATAATGTTGTAGATCCACACAGTCTCTGATAATTTAAACTGCAGTTCTGCTAGCTTCTTTCAATTCAATATAGACAGATACTGATTTTATTGTACATTTTCAGTATAGACTAACTGCGGCTGACATGAGTTGTAATTGAGCATGAATACAGTCAACCGAAAATTTTTGAGCCTTAAATCATATTGAAGAAAATGACAAAATTTTAGGGTAGGGAAGAATTTGTATAAAGCTGAAAACAAAAGAAGGGGATATCTAGAAATAGTCAATGCAACAAACTCAAACTCAACAAACCCAGTGTCTGTGCTAATGATAATCTGTAGGGTACTCTTGGGAAGGAAGTACAATTAGTAATGCTTTACCTAGAACACTGTAATACCTGTAAGCAATGCGATTATTTATTGAGTGCCATTCTCTCTTTTTCCTTGATCTTCTGAATTCTACTTTGGTCCTAGATTTTTTTTATGAATAAGTCATTTCATGATAGCTTTGCAGTCAATATTATGAATTACCTATCGTGTGATAATCCTCACAGTAGACCACAAGAATATTTTTTCATAGTTTTTGTGAGCTCTGTGTATAAGAATAATAATCCAAAAAAACCTCACTGCTTCAGTCAGACAGTTCTTTTCATACTAAGCTCAGGAGAAAAAAAAATTCATCTTTAACTAGTTTATGTTGCTATCAAAGAATATTCTTGTTATTTTTAATGTTCACTCTTACATTCCAGGTGAGCTCAAGGTAGTTATTAGAGGAGGAAAAAACCCACAGAAGGGAATTATGGTTTGTTTCTAAATTTGAGCTAAATTATAATGGGATAAAGACAAAGTATAAGGAGCTTAGCATGCCTTATTTTAATGAATGCTTACAGTAGCCCTGGACAGGTTATACTAGAAGGTAGTTTTATATGTACATATATAAATATAAACATATTTGTGTATTTATATATGCCTATATAAATATGTAAAATATACTTATGCATAGATTATATAAATTCATAAGAGATAAACTACTTGCCTGGGTGATACCATAGAGCTGGAAGCAGAGGTCATTCTGACTCCAAACCCTCATATTCTAACACTCAGCCTTTGAGGGAAAAGAAGATGAAACAGCAGGTGGTAAAGTTAGTTTTGAAAAGATTGTAATCTTTAACACATTTGAAGTTTATATAGAACGTCTGTTTTAGCCAGCCATCTCCAACCATGTCCAAGTAATTCTTAAGAATTTGGGCATAAGTAATTCAAGATAGGATCCCAGGAGACATTGTAGGGGAAAATGACTCTGGGAAAACAGAATAACCAAAAAAGCTGATACACTAATGAAGAGGTAATTGCTGTGAATAGCTGAGGCTCAATCCAGCTGAAAAACCTGTGAGAGACAATGTAGAACATGCCTCAGAAACATCCCGCTGAGGGGCAAGGAAGTTAATGTATTTATCCACTAATTTCCCTTTCTTCTTTCTTGAAAGTCCCATCCAGATTCTAATTCTGTGGTACTTCTGGCCTGCACCAGAAGGTCTGCATACTCCAGCTGCTAGAGAAATATGGGAAGCTGTAGGGACATACAGAATGGGTATTCCAGCACTGTCTTTGAGCACGGTTGTGGTGTGGGTGGGCAACTACATCCATTCCCACAACCAAGTGCAAGCATCTTATATAAAACAGGATGGAAAATTTACATATGAAATATAGAGACTTGGATATTGGACACAAAGACAGGATTAAAAGTATATTATTTAAGGCAGTGCTAATGAAAATAATTACAAATAGCAAAGTACAGTCATAATAGGTCTTGAGTATTAGCCATAGTTGATGAATAGAAGAAAGAGAGTAAGCCAGATGACGAGCCAAGAATGGACAGAACCAGGAGCATCGTGGATCATTATAGCTAAGACTTGAACATGTATCATGGTACTTCAGAGGACCTTGATACCAGGTCTTATATTTACTGTGAAAAAACACAAAGTCTACCTAATTTTCATGTGTATTTGACAATTCTGGAAATTTAGAGTGAAGATGGAACTGGAATTGTCAAATGGCGCCCTGCTCTTGTTTTTCCTTTGTTTTGGCCTGTAGGGGCCAAGACAATCACATGAGAATTTAATTCAAAACATCTTCCTCAGATCACAGCAAGAGGAGTGCAATGAATTTAGGGAGAATATGTGTGAGAGGGAAGTGGGAAACCAACTCATGCTCACATTGTATTTCTGGAGCACAAAAAAAAAGTCTAGCCTACCTCTAAGTCTCCATTATTATCATAATAGTTTTTCAAAGAAACTTCCATTTTGGGGACTTAAATAGTTCTTAGTGAAGTTCTCCATTAAGTACATGATCATTAGCTATGTTTTGAGGATCTTTATAAATTATAGGTGAATTTTATATAGAGGCTCCTGTCCATCTCTATATTTAATTTTCACCACTACCTGTTTTAATGTGTGAATTTCCCAGGCTCTAATCTATTCTTGGGAAATTTATTTTGCAAAGAAAGTAGACTCTCAACAGGATTTTAACTCAAGAAATAAAATTTATCTATCAAAAATCTGAACATTTAGAAATGACTCCTGTAATAGATGTGATTATCAATTTATGCAGCAGTTATTACATTTTGTACAATTATATCTTACATTCATACTTTAGAATGCATCTACTTTTTTCTTGAGTAAATTCATATAAACTATACATTAAATCTGTTTAACACAGGTTCATAAGGTGCATTCAGTGAATAAGCAAGCAATATACACTTAAAACCCAAAGTTGGGAAATTTTATGGATTTTTAAATGGTTAAAAGGTTTATTTTATGTGATCAAAATTATCTTAAAATTTTCTTATTCTGTTATTTAGCCGCTGCAAACGATTAGTCACATAGAATGTATTTCTAGTACCAGGAACTTGTAATTTGGGGTATGTCTTCCTCTTTTTTTTTTTTTTTTTAGTGACTTAAAACAATCTCTTCTTTTTCCTTAAAATATCAATGTTTTTAGTTTCCCTCACTTTCCTCTTTTTGTGTGGGTGTAAAATTCAATATAATTTACCTACACTTCCTCCCTCTGATCCTCTTCCTTCTTAACCTTTGCACATGCCATTAACTATGGGAAAGGGAAGGGCATGAACATTGAAAAACTTCCTCCTTACCTTTTCTCCCATCTCCTTCTGCAACTACTTTAGGGAGGTGGAAAAAAAGAAGAGAGTTTGCCATGTAAATAAGTTGTCCCTTATTTCCAAGTTTCCTCCTACTCCCTGAGTCATAGCCATATCACCTGTGGCCTCTGTTATCTAGCCTGCCTGCTCCTTTGAATATCCACTCCTGTTGAGCAGTATTCTGAATGATACATTTCTAAATGTCAAATTCCAATTTTTGATGGATTTTTCATTAAGATACAAGTACCAATTAATGGTTTGTTTCTACAATAAGAATATTTGGAGGGATTAGGAATAACCTGTAGATTATATAATAATTATATCATAATCCCCATGGGAAGACGAAATAAGATTTCCAAACAGTTAACTTCCAAAGAAAATCAGAAATGTTTGAATTGGGACTTTTGAACACTTTTACCGTTTAAAAAAGATTTGAACAGAATTGTAACTAGGCACTTGTTATTCTTGTGCAAAAGTTTATGTCAATGATTTTTTTTGCATAGTTTTAAACCATTTCACCTCATCTTATTCACAATATTAAAAGGTGTAGAACTCTTCCTTAGTACTTTTTTCCATATCACATGTTCTTTCATAAGAGCTTCCAGATGAATAAGGTTGTATTTTGAAGACTGTTGGTTATGAGGGAGTTATTCAGTGAGTCGTTCTGATCATCTTCCTAAGTTGAACACAGTTTAGATGGACTTAAGGATAAGACATTGTGAAGAAGACTGAGAAGTAAATGGCAGTGGACCCTATTACGTAGTAATACGTAGTAATACGTAGTAATACGTAGTAATACGCAGTAATACGCAGTAATACGCAGTAATACGCAGTAATACGTAGTATAAAGCTGATAGGAAAGGAGAGCTTAGGGAAGACAGGTGAGTGTTAGCATTTACCTGGTGGGGGGAGTGGGGAGAAGGTTCCTGACATGGGAAACGAAATAATGAAAAGATATTAGAAAGAAAGAAGAAAAGCAATTCTAGCATCTAGGGTTAAGGTTAAAAAATAAATAAAAAATAAAGAGGCAGAACATGAATGGAGGGGATGTTTCTGTGACTTGACTGAATCAAGGGACATTAAATTTTTGGAGGGGGAAGACGACACACTAGAGTAAATAATGTCACAGTGACTTGAAAAACATGAGTGAAAAGAGGGAAAAATAAGTGACAAACTAGAGACAATGAGAAATAATCTATTGAAATGAAAGTAACCCTGATATTTGTTCAGTAACTCATATTAACATAATTAAATTCAATCACTCAACAAGTATTTATTTAACCCCTACTAAGGCACAGGAAGACAAATTATGGTGAATAAAACAGATTCAGCTTCTGTTCTTACAATGAATCTGTTTTATTTTTATTTTGAAAAATTATATATTTTAATTTAAATATTTAATTGAATGTATTGAAGGTGGACAGTGATGACTTCAAATACATTTACACCATATGATGGTTACAACAAAAGAATTATCATCCACCTTTACCCATGCTAGACAATGTTACCTCCTCACAAGTGGT